CTGGCTCGGCCTTCAGCTGTGATGGAGGGCAGCACATCAGCAGGGAAGGTTGTTTACCGACTCCCTGACTGTGGTGATTTAGCTTCCCGCTCCTCCTGACGTCTGAGCCATTCCACTGCCCCTGTCCCCTTCTGTCCTTTTCACCTCCAAGAAAACAAACCAGCACACGGCTGCCCGCACCCAGGAAGGGTCAAACCGCCGAGCCCTCAGCACCCAGGAGGCTGGGCTGCTTGCTCCACATGGCCCAGTGTCCGCGCACGTGACTGAGTCAGGATGTGTCTATGGCTGAAATACATGTGGCTGCTGCGTTGGCCTCGGGATTTTGGTTAAGAAATAAAAACCAAACAGTGTCCGAGGAGACGTCTGAGCCTCTCAAATGTAGAATCTGATTTTAAAAAAATCATAAAGGGGCACCGCAGGTGATGCTAAGTAGATGGATGCTTACTATGGTTTTTGTCTGGACTTACTGGTTTGTGGGAAATTAATATCTTGCTAATTATACAATCCCGAATCACCGGTCATCTTAGCTAACGTAATTAAACAGTAGACAGCTAAAAGTTTGCAGCGGATTTTTATCAGTTTAACGGATGTAGCCGGCACGGGTTATTACATCCACCCTGTACCAGAGCCCAGCTCCCAACGAAATCTACCAAATGATCCTCCATATTGATCTGTTTAAGATTTATCCTCCGCCTCCTTCCACACGAAACCGAGACAGATACACTCTATAAAACCAACAGTTAAACATATTTAAACCGGCTGGAATATGTTTTCAAGACGGAACAGCTATGTCAAAAGGCAAACAACTTCATGTGGGAGGGTTACTGGCAAAAGATAGAACGAGAGATCTTAAAAACGACAAAGAGCCCACGAGTCTGCTTATGTCCTGGCATCCCCAGCAGGTCTGGGACCAACTGCTCAGAGCTCTACCCCTATTTCAGAGTCACCAACACTGGGTCCTACCCCACGGTGCATGTTTGCTGTGGTCCCTCACCCGTGTGTTCTGAATTTGAAGCTACTGAAGTCTTATGTTATTGAATTAGCGCCCCTAGCTTTGCGTGTTCTACATGCGGAGTTAACGATGCCAGGCCTGTGCCGAGCAGAGACACTGAGGCCAATGATTTAAACCCTCCGTAAATTTTATCTGAAAATTAGTGAAGAACAGCTCATTCATAATTTCTAATTAAAACGCCTCTAATTAACACGGGCGCTTGTGAGCGGCTCCCCGCCCAGCCGGTCCCTGCAGCTCAGCGCTGCTGCCCATCCTGCTGCGAGTAAGCCACAGGAGATGTGCAGATAGGACGGCCGCCGAGTCTATTCTGGGAAGCAGGCCGCCAATCACTTCATCTCCTCCAGGCAGCTCCGCACCGCGGGCTCGCGAGCACCGAATGAACCAAATTCCCTGCAGACTGCAGATCCAGAAGCTTTTTTAACAATCAGTTGGTGGAGAAGGGTCTAGAAAGTCTGTTCAACTGACAAAGGGAGAGAGCGATTTCTCCACCTTCCAGGCCGCATCCCTTCAACCTGACAGGCCCGACTGACCACACCAGACACCAGAGTGTAGCCTCTGACAACGGGGTCTAGGAGTTCCCAATGGCATAGGGGCTGCCCACCTCCACCCGGATACCCATAGGGTGCCACCTCGGTTTAGCCCACCGCTCCAGGCTCTCCTGCGTAGGTATGTGTAAGGGCCTCCCTGGTCTGCACCTGCACCTTCTGCCTCTCCGATCTTCCGAGCAGATGGTGGGCATTTTCTCAGTCGCTAGCCTCCCCACCCCTGCCGCCCAGAGCTGGCTCACACCAAGAATGTTCCCATGGCGCACCTCTGACCAGCCGCAGCCCCCTGGGCTCCAGGTAAGATGAAGCCAGGCCACAGCTGTGAAGACACTGGGCAAGCAGGACAAGGGCCCCAGGTCTGGGGACCGTCAGACGCAGCGTCACAAGAAAGGCTGGCAGAATGACAAGGGAAGGGGCCACTGGGGGCAGCTGCTGGCCCTGGACACCACACACCATATGCTGGCTGGCTGGGTTCCTCTGGATAGCGTGTGATGGGGAAGCAGCAGCCAGGGCATCAACACAAGCCCTCAGTACCCCCCACCGCAGGGCTCCGCCACACAGCAAGCATAGAGCAAACGCCTCCTGAATGGCTAGCAGGAGGCTGGCAAGCACCTGTCCACGCAGACATGATGATCCTACTGCGAATCCTGAGGCCCCAGGGAGCTCCCAGAGATGGACATCGTAAGTCCTGGCACGGTAGCCACACCTGCTGCTCTGCTGCTGCTACCTGTACCAAGCTGAGCTGCAAGGTACAGGGACAAGCAACTTCCCCACCCCCACTCCCCAGGCCCAGCCACTCCAAGAGGACCCTCCCAGGGCAGGGCAGCAACGGACCCATCAGTAAGGAGACCTGCAGATGCCTGGTGACCCTCAACAGCCCCATTGGGCCCGCCAGCCAGTCCCAGAAAAGGCCCGGGAGCTGTGAGTGGGGAGCAGGCTCAGTCATCTGGAAGGTTCCACTGCGACAGCCACAGGCCAGCAGAGTAGTGGGACTGTCCCTGGGTCACACAGGCAGGCCATGAGCTGAGCAAAGCTTCAGCCCCTCTGGCGTGAGGACCCTCCACCCACAGGGTGACTGCCCAGAATAGCCCTGGTCATGGGGAGAGAGCCCTGCTAGCCACAGCTTGGTTTCTCCAGTCACTCAGAACCCCATGGAAACGGCCCCTAGCTGCCTTCCCGAGGCACTGTGGCCGCTGCCTCAGCCCCTCGGCTCCCCACCCATTTACTCTGTCCAACTGCACACAGTGGTCAGTGGCTGGTGCAGAGAGTCACCGTGCAAGCGGGGCAGGCAGACTACGCTACAACAGCTGCCTGTCACCCGTCTCCTCAGCGAATGAGAGGTGACAGAGCTCACAGAAGACGGCACCCCATCCTCCCTTCGCTGAACAAATGGCGGGAGGCACAGGGCCCTGAGTACCTTTCTGCTCAGGGACATCTTCCCTGGCACCCAAGGATGGCTGAGAAATTCACCCCCGCTGCTAACACACTGACAGATGATCATCTACCTTCTAAGACTGGACAATCATCTGCTTCCTCTGTGAAAAATGTGTTTGGGTCAAAAGTCACAGTATTAGCTTTCCCATTAAGTGACCCACCAAAACGAAACATTCATAAAGTGTCCGTAGGGACAAGTGCAGCCAGCTTCCGGCCAGGCTGGGTGATTCCTCACCACTGTTCATCTCCTAGACTCCTAGTGTGGCGCTGAAGGATAAGCACGACTGCAAACCACAAGGTCAGAGGTTCAAACCCACCAACTGCTCTTTGGAAACCCTGTACAGGGTTGCTATGAGTCGGAACCGACTTGATGGAACTTACTAACAACATTAATTTCCTTGGCATCCTGGTGTGGCACTGTGGCATACAGCATTGGACTGCAAGATCAGTTTGAGCCACAAAGTCAGTGGTTCAAATTCACCAGCTACTCCTTGGAAACCCTACACAGGGTCACTATGAGTCGGAACCGACTTGATGGCACTAAACAACAACTTTGGAGTCCTGGTGTGACAGTGTAGGACAAGCACTGGACTGCTAACTTCAGGGTTAGGGGTTCAAACCCATCAGCTGCTCCTTGGAAACCCTCTACAGGGTCTCTGTAATGAGTCAGAACGGACTCCACGACACTTAGCAACAGCCATCAGCTTAGGAATCAGGGATGGGAGAGAAGCAAGCCCGCCCTCTGCTGGTCCCTGGGGGGACTGTGCACACCTGGTCTACCTGAGGAAGCTCCTTGTGGAGATCTGTGAGGGACCTGGGTCTGCTCAAGTCTTTTCTTACTCGGGGCTTCAGAGCACCTGGGAACATCCCACCCCTAGCTCTGTGTCTGCTGACCACCCTGCTCTACACGTGAGCACGGTCTGGGGCCTTCTGAGGGGCTCGGTCTTGATCTTTTCTGTTCACAACAAAGCCTTCTCAGGAGACAGACAGACACAGACACACACACACACACACACACACACTCACTCACTCACTCACTCACTCACTCCTGCGGCCTTTCCTGCTGCTCCCTCTCCTGGTGGAGACCAGAGGGGGGGGCATCACCCCCCTGTGTCCACTGTGTAAACACTGCTCCTCACCTGTCTTGGTGGGGGCTCCCAGGGTCACCCTGTGGGATGGACATAAACTGGCCCCTCCCCTTGACGGCATCTCTAGGACCCCAGTGAAGAAGCCCCCATTCCTGGTCTGCCTGTGGCCCTCAGTGCCCTTGCCGTCACAGCCCTGTGCATCTGGAGGTCCACTATCTCCATGGCTACAGGGTCACCGCATTGGGGCAGGTGACCTGGGTGCAGGATCAGCTTCACCCTCACCTGTCACCATGCCCTGAGACACCTGGGCCTCCCTCAGGCCCTGCCTAAGGCTGGTCCCATCAGTGCGGGCGCGCAGCCCACACCCCAGGTCCCCTCTGAGCTGGGGAGGTCCAGCTCTCCCCAACAGACGTCGTGCTGACCTCTCAAGTCTCCATGGTGTGAGGGCCAGGCCCAGCCTGCCCCTCCCTCAGTGGCTTCCCAGGAGCACGAAGCTCTCAGTACCTCCTGTCCTTGGCTAGGACTCAGGGATGCCAGCAAAGCCCCGACACCATCGTGACATCGCCGTGGAAATGACTGCTCACAGGAAGCGAGCCCTGGGCTTCCCCACCGCCTCCCTGGTCAGCTCAGAGCCATGGGGAGCTCCTCAGAGCCTCTCTCCAGTGAAGAACTTCTACCCACTTCCCCATTGCCTCCCCAGGATCCGGGCCCAGGCCCTTTGCACGGGTTCAGCTATGGTGGGAGGAGGACCACGTGGTGTCACCGTGTGACAGTTGAGAGCAGCTCCTCTGAGACACATAGTGAACAAAGAGGGCCCTGGAGACCCTCCAGCCCCCAGAGATGCCGGCCCTGCAGGGTCACGCAGTGGTGGGTCAACGCCCTTTGGCACTGCCCTTGCTGGGGCTGACCATGGGCACTCACCAGCCTCCCAGGTCCCTCCTGAGGTTTGATGTTAAGCTCCTTGTACTTGCGCACAGCTGCTTCTAGCTCTGTCTTCAGCTCGATGGCCCGCCTCAGCCTCTGGTCGTGAATCCCTGCGCGGGTGAACAGCTGTGAAGTAAGGGATGACAGGCGTCTGGGCAGAGGGGACAGAGGGACTGAGGACAAACTGAGCAAGGGGCTTCTGGGCATCAGCAGCCTCCTCGTATGCCCAGGGGTGCCCGAGGCTGTGACTTCTTTCTTCACCTTTTCTGTATAGTCTCCAATCCACCTGTCCCACCCCCCACCCCCCACCCCCAGTCTACATCAACACCTGCACAGCCTGATGCCCAGGGCAGCTCATCACCTGCACCCAGGAGCAGACCGACGGCAGGAACTTGTTCCGGATGAGCTTGAGTGCGTCCCGGGCGCTGTGGACCACGGCTCTGTTGTCCTCTGTCTCCTGCAGCACCACGTCACCTGCAACAAGCATGGGGTTATCAAAGGGGCTGCCAGGCTGCATCTCCTGGGGACGGGCTGGGATCCCTTTTCATGCTGCCCCCACCCATCACAGCTCCTTCAGAAAGAGAGAGAGCTGTGGGGGGAAGCTGGGGGTCCATTACTGCTCTCAGACCCTACACTGACCCCACCTTTTAAGGCTTCGGACCTTTTCAGTGTCGCGCCACAGCCCGAAATGACAGGTAAGTTCACCCAAGACCGTATAGACGGAGGGTTGTGGAAATGTGTGTTTCTCCAGCCCTGTCTGGCTGCATGGTGTGTGAGGACAGATGACCAACACCCAGGCTTCCCCAGAGTGAGGGCTGAGAGGGTCAAGGAAGTGATAACCGAGCTGAGAGGCAGCAGCGGCAGAGGCGGTGAAGTGACGCCGAGGCACATCCTGCTAGGACGCTCTGCAGGTCACTGCCCAGTGGCACCCCCTCTTGCATGTCTCCAGGTCCTGCCACATCCCAAACCCGTCTGCCCTGAATCAGGGGTGAGGGATCACCACGTGTGCCCACACCCGGACACCAGGGCCCAGCTCCCACACACAACCTGGCACCTCCACCTCTGGTCACCAGCTCAGGGTTCAGCAGCCAAACCGTCTTTCCTGCTTGGATGCAGCGAGAACTCCCACCCCAGCCCCGACCCTGCTGTCACGGGGTCTTCCCAAGTAGTTCTGCAGAGCACCCAACCTCAGGTCCTCAGTGGCCTGTCTACCTCACTCCATGTCTCAGCCAGCACCACCCTCCAACTCTCTGGCAAGCCAGCGGTCACTTCCTCTGACTGTCAGACAACTGGGCACGCAGCACGCCACAGTGGTGCTCACGCGCCTGTGAGCAATTGCTCCCTTATGACAAGGACAGGTTAGCACAGGTGGCAACAACAGTGTGGCGTATAGACGTCGGCACTGTGCCATGTGTGCTGGCTGGGAACAGATTCTCAGCTGGGGCCCGTTGGGTTTCTTCACAGAGCCCCACGCCCAGGCTCTATGGAGGTGCTCGCTGCCTGGGCTTAAAGACAGCTTCTCAGAGACGCCAACATACCTGAGAAGCCACTCCAATCCCCTAGAACTTCCCCCCACCTTCCCCCCCCAGCTGAGCCCCTCCAGGCACCAGGCCCTGAGGCCACAATGTCCACTCATGTTTTCCCTCCCCCTGCCCCAAGGTGGAAATTCGGGCCTACAGGTGGGAAGGCTGGACCTCATAGGAAGCAAATGCCAGACCTCAAAATAGGAATACCAGGCAGTCAGGTAGGAACCACGGGGTCTCACATAGGGGGTAGGGATCCCTGCAGGGACTCATGGTGCGAGAGGGGACCGCGGGGTCTCACGGTGGGAGAGAGGGGGCCGCGAGGTCTCGCGGTGGAAGAGGGGGCCGCAGGGTCTCGCGGTGGAAGAGGGGGCCACGGGGTCTCATGGTGCGAGAGGGGGCCGCGGGGTCTCACGGTGGGAGAGAGGGAGCCGCGGGGTCTCGCTGTGGGAGGGGGGGATGCAGGATCTCGCAGTGGGAGAGGGGGGATGCAGGATCTCGCAGTGGGAGAGGGGGCTCCAGAATCTCGCAGTGCCAGTAGGGCCCACCAGGGCTAAGTGTGGCTCTGCACATCACTGTCCCTGTCAGAAGCCTTCACTGCAGTTTCCTCCCAGAGCAGAGGGGATGGTGCCTGACCTCTCACAGCCTCACAGTACCCCTGATAGTGCCTCAGACAAGCCAGATGCTCCACCCTCCCTGGGGGCCCAGGTCCTCCTGGGAAGGCCCTTCTCACCCAGCCCTTCATCACAGATGCAGGCTCCCTGCCCTGCTCAGAGCCCCTGGGAGCTGCTGTGAGGTGCCAGAGTAGTGGGCAAGCTCTGGGCAGTGACCCTGTGGTCAGGAGTTGTGGTGGGGAGGGGCAGCCACAGTCCAGCAGCCTAGCAGGAAGTTTGAGGAGCGCCCTGCTGACAGGCTCTGGCTGGGCCATGGGGGCACCCTGGGCACTCACAGTGCCAGTGTAGGAGGGCAGCAGGCAGCACTGGCTGCAGCCTGGGTACCTGGATGGAGCTCCAGGCCCAGCATGTACTTGTGAGAGCCCAGTCCATGACTGCGTACGAACTCGTCCTGCTCCTCGTCAGACAGGTCCCCACTGCCGTCGTCAGCTTGCAGAGGAAGTGGAAAGGCAGGCAGATCTTTGCTGCAGCAGGGCAGCTCCTCGTCCTGGAGGCCAGGGGCAGCTGGACAGAGGCTTGTGGAGGGAAAGGCATCCTCACCAGGTACCCCTGGGCTGGTGGCAAAATCAAAGGGCACCAACAGCTGAAAGCAGCTCTCCACTTCCGTCAGGCAGGATCGGACTTCCTCAGACATTTCTGCCAGAAGACGAGAGACACCTGCTGATGCATTCAGCACCGAGTGGGCTGGAAGCCAGCTGGGAAGGGTCCTACCCCAGGCCCCCACACACAGGGTCTCCCTGAACACAGGGCGTCTATGGCACACCTTGCAGACCACAGAGGTCAGCATCCTGGCTACATGTACCGATGGACGCCAGGTAACTAAGCGCTCAACAGATAGATACACAGCTCGTTGGTGCCTGCAGAATACCTGAGGGGCAGCTCTGGGGCTACCGTGTCCCAGCCGTGTCTCCCAGCCCCTCCTCACCCCTACTGACATCGGCTCTCTTGGCAGCCGCCTCAGAAACCCTGGAGCCTGGCTGAGCCTGTTGGCTAACACCTTAGCCTCCCAGAAGTGGATGGGGCCAGACCTGGTGACAGGGTGGCTCCCAGGCACAGAGCTGGGCACCTGTAGCCTGGAACCTCTTGCCCCGTGCCCCACACACCCCGGCTAGCCCATTCTAAAGGTCGGCTACCAGGAAGCAAGAGGTGGGGTTCAGCCAGGCCACAGAGCAGATCTCGGCCTCTGTCTTCTTTCCCTTCTTTCTGGAATCCTCTCTTCCCTCCAGCCTTCTGCCCCCTCCCTCTCTCTCTCAGCATCACTGCCCAGGAGGTCCTTACAGGAAACTGTCATACACAAGCATGACCGCCAGAGGGCGCAGAAGAGGCGTGTAAGGACCTCAGAACTTCCCAGGCAGGTGGTTCCCTGACTAGAAGACAGACACCCTGGCTCACCCATGGATGGGGCGCGGGGGTCTCGGGCTGTGCAGTCCTACAACCTCAGCTATCTCCCTAGGCTGTCCCCATACCTGCCTTTCTCCCCACACTGGACAGTCGGAAGCCTAGGCAGGCTACCCAGAGACCAGGATGGAAGAGGTAGTGGCTGGTAGAGGACAGAAGGCAGACCCAGGGGCTCCAGGGGTGGAGTGAAGGTGAAGCAGGGCTGCAGGACAGGTGCAGCCTCACTGAGGCAGGAGAGTCCCCCTTGTGAAGGCACAAGGAGGGGCCCCCTAGTGACCTGCCTTCCATCTCCGCCCCGGCCTGCTTGGCTCGCTCTCTGTAGATGCTATCCAAGCGTCTCTGCTTCTCCGCTTCTCTTTTTCTCTCTGCCAGGGTTCTAGCATTGATGTCTTGAAAATCTACCTGAGAAAGGGAGAGCACGTATCAGACCTACCTGTAAAGAACACACAGATTCCATGGGCTCGGAGCCACAATCACCACTCACGCAAGCAGCTATCAAGAAATCAAACTTCTCTGACCCTCCACCTTACTGAACATGATGTCCTTCTCCAGCGACTGGTCCCTCCTGACAATATGTCCTAAGTATGAGAGACGAAGTCAGGCCATCCTGGCCTCCAAGGAGCACTCTGGCTGCACTTCTTCCAAAACAGATCTGTTGGTTCTTTTGGCAGCCCACGGCACTTTCAATATTCTCCTCCAACACCATAACTGAAAAGCATCAATTCTTCTATGGTCTTCCTTATTCACTGTCCAGCTTTCACATGCATATGAGGTTATTGAAAATACCATGGCTTGGGTCAGGCTCACCTTAGTCCTCAAGCTGACATCTTTGCTCTTCAACACTTTAAAAAGGTCTTGTGCAGCAGATTTGCCTAATGCAATACATCGCTTGATTTCTTGGCTGCTGCTTCCGTGAGTGTTGATGGATGATCCAAGAAAAGTGAAGTCTTTGACAACTTCAATCTTTCCTCCATTGATAAGAATGTTGTTTAGTGGTCTAGTGGTGAGGATTTTTGTTTTCTTTATATTGAGATGCAATCCATACCAAAAGTTATGGTCTACCTGCATATCACAGGTTGTTAATGAGTCTTCCTCCAACCCTGATGCCACATTTTTCTTCATATAACCCAGCTTCTCAGATCATTTGCTCAGCATACAAGTTGAATAAGTATGGTGAAAGAATACAACCCTGTCGCACACCTTTCTTAATTTTAAACCATTCAGTGTTCCCATGTTCTGTTCGAACAACTGCCTCTTGGTTGTTCAAGAATACTCATACTTTGCAATGTTGTCCATAGCTTGTCATGATCCACACAATTGAAAGCCTTTGCGTAGTCAATAAAGCACAGGTAAACATCTTTCTGGTATTCCCTACTTTCAGCCAAGATCCATCAGACATCACCAAATGATATCCCTTGTTCCACGTCCTCTTCTGAATCCGGCCTGAACCTCTGGAAGTTCTCCGTCAATGTATGGTTGCGGCCGTTTCTGTATTACCTTTAGTAAAACTTTACTCACATGGAATATTGTCTGATGATTTCCACATTCTGTTGGGTCACCTCAAGGCCAGGGGCAAACTGTGGAACAGACCATCAATTGCTCATATGCAAATTCAGATTGAAGCTGAAGAAAATGAAAACAAGTCCACTAGAGCCAAAATATGACCTTGAATTTATCCCACCTGAATTTAGAGATCATCTGAAGAACAGATTTGATATACTAAACACTAAAGATCGAAGACCAGAAGACTTGTGGGATGATGTCAAGAACATACAGGAAGAAAGCAAAAAGTCATTAAGAAGACAAGAAGGAAAAGGTCAAAGTGGATATCAGAAGACACTCTGAAACTTGCTCTCCAGCGTAGAAATGCTAAAGCAAATGGAAGAAATGAGGAGGCACAAGAGCATTAGGGATATTCACAGCAAAAGACGTCTTCAAAGTATTTAGGAGCAAAGATGTCAGTTTGAGGACAATGGTGTACCTGACCCAAGCCATGGTATTTTCAATCACCTCATATGCACGTGAAAGTTGCGCAGTGAATAAGGAAGGCCATAGAAGAATTGATGCCTTTGAGTTCTGGTGTGAGAGAGGAGTATTAAAAGTACCATGGACTGCCAGAAAACAAACCAATCTATGTTGGATGAAGTGCAGTCAGAGTGCTCCTTAGAGGCCGCGGTGGTAACGTCATCTCTCATAATTTGGACATGTAGTCAGGAGGGAGCAGTCCCTGAAGAAGGACATCATGCTTGGTGAAACGACAGGTTAGTGAAAAAGAGAAAGACCCCCAATGAGATGGGCTGACAGTACCAACAACAATGGGCTCAGATAATGATGAGGCTGGACCGGGCTGGACCGGGCAGTGTTTCGTTCTGGTCACTATGAATCAGAACCGACTCGATGGCACCTTAACAACGTAAAGACCATAGACACAGCGGAGTCCATAAATGGATCTCACAAAGACTGAGCCGTGTCGGCACATGGCCAGGGGCTCCGTGGCTCTCACTGTGAAGTCTGCTCTTCAATCCCTGGGAAGATGACAGCCGGCAGCTCTGCTCTCTACAGGTGAGAACGACAGACGGCGGACAAGAGTGTCTGCTCTGACCTCCTGGGGAGGAAAGGCTGCTGGCAGGATGGACAGTGGACAGGCTACAGGGGCCACCAACCAACCATGAGCCCACAGGCTGCCGAACGTCTGCCAGGGGAACATCGGCACCGCCAAAGGCCAGCCATGATAAACAGCAACACGGAAGTGGAAAAGCGGGGGAGAAGGGGCCTGGAGCTGCAGCTGCAAGTCCTCCTGTGTCTACCAGTAGCCGGCAGGTGGACACTCAGCCTGCAAGGTGTCAGGGCCCTAGTCCAGGCCCTCACCTGTATTCAGAAAGCGGATTTTATCCCTTTGCCCTTTTTTTTGGATTTGTCTTACACTCACGCAGAAACCGGGTCCAGCTCAGCCCCGTGCATGTGTGGAGATGGCCGTGCATAGCCCCCACCCCAGGTTCTGCCTCAGCTGTTGTGGTGGCCACGGGGCTGACCCCTGGGGACCACCTGCACAGAGCTGACCTGCTCTACCAGGTGTTCAGGGCGGCGGCCTTTTAGAAGCAGACCTCCAAGCCTGTCATGGGAGGCACCTCCGGGTGGGTCGGAACCACTAACCCTTTCAGTTACTAGTCTAGCGATTAAACCTATGCAGCACCCAGGGAAGCAGCCAATCTCTGCCATCCTGGACCCGCCCACCAGCCCTCCCCAACTGGTCATCTGGGACCTCTCCCTACC